GCACAATCTACTTGTAATCTTGAGTTTTAAGTAATATGCATTAATAAACAGTACTTTACGTATAAAAAGTAGTTTTTAAGAGTTTTTGTCAAATGTTTTATAATATAGTATAGATTATTTTTTTAAATTTAAGTTAAGTTTAATAATGAAATAGTTTATTTTTGGTTTAATAATATAACATTTTATAAAGATAATAATTAAGTATTTTGTTAGAACTCAATGATTATTCTAATTATATTTTTGGTTTTTTAATATATAAAATGAGATGTTTATCCTGTATTTGATTGTGTTTACCTGCAGTTAGTTACACGAATTCAGTTATGGGATGAAATCAGATAGGGATGAAATTGTTTAGGGATGAACGAGTTTAAGAGTTTTTAAGAGTTTTAGCCAAATGCTTTATAATATACTATAGATATACATATACATATACATAGAGGAGGTTTACTTTGCAAACCACGTTATTTGTACAAACCGTATAAACCTCATTCAAACAATCATAGTTTTTCATTTTGTTCATTTTTTTTAGTTATGAGAGGTGGATTAATCATTTTTAGTGTGAAGGGTGTTAATCATGGATATTATCATCTTCATTATTTTAATTTTAGAGAAATACATTAAACATTTTCATTAAGGATTATATGAAACAATTTCATAACCATATATTAAACAATTTCATAACCATATATGAAACAACTTCATCAAAAAAAGTATTATATGAAACAATTTTATAAAAAATTTCATAAGATTAAACAATGAAATCGACAGATGAGGGTGATTTGCAGTTTGTACAAATTGAGTGGTTTGCATTTGATTATATATATATATATATATATATATATATATATAGGAGCGTTCAAATGAAAACCGTCTCCATTTGTGTAAACCGTGTAAACCAATCTCATCCATTCATTTTCTTGATCAATGGTCAAGATTAGTTTACTTTATCTTAGAAAATTTTAATTAGAAAATTTAAAAAAAGATATATATTAAAATTTTATTTTATATCAGCAATAAGGGCAAAATGGTAAACAAAAATACATTACATTCAAGACAACAATATCTTTCATATCATATTATAAATGAAACTATTTAATTTTGTAAAACAATATATTATTTTTACGTTTAAATAATAACATTCATCAATAAAAAAAAAACACATCATATTCAATTCTATATAATGAATCGTTTCAAAATTTGAATTACATTATATGAACGAAATTGGTTTCAAAATTTCATCAAAAAACTAATCAACGTAATACTGATCATATTTCGTAATTTTCATTATACTGGTAGATGGATCCGTTACATTTAGATAACGAAATTTTTCATTGTTTACTGAGTTCATAAAATTTTATAATACAACATGAAATAGTTTCATTGTCTTAACTGTTTAATGCGTTCATAGAATTTTATGATAAAACATGAAATTTTACTCATGGTTTGATGCGTCATTTGTTATTTCATGATATTGATGATGAACTTTATTCACTTTTCGCTAATGTTACAACCTTTTTATTCCTTATCCTGAAATTGTTTCAATGTCGTTCACACAACCATGTAAATATGCACCCTATTCATTATGAAATGATTTCAAGACGCACCAGTTTCATAATGAATCCGTTTCAGCATGTAATTATTTCATGACGAACCGCATACATTATTCACCCGTTTTATTTTGCATTTCAACGTCATTGAAACGAGATTCACCATCAAACCAGTTCAATACTCATTGTTCAATTACGCCATCAACCAGTTTCACTTTCATGAAACATGTTTCATGTAAATTAATTTCTTTATTTCGCTCATGATTTGATGAATTCATTCCTTTAAGCCTTGCAATCATAAAAATTCTGGAGCATATTACAATCTTCAAGATTATGGAGCAGTTTCTTCATGTACCCGTTTCATCATGCATTATTTCATGACGAACCAAATACATTATGCACCCGTTTCACTACTCATGTTCAATAACACCATGAACCAGTTTCACCTTCATGAAACCTATTTCATGTACATTAATTTTCTTATTTCACCCCTGATTTGATGAATTCATTCCTTTAAGCCTTACAATCTTCAAGATTCTAGAGCAGATTACAATCTTCAAGATTCTGGAGCAGATTCATCATTTACCCGTTTCATCATGCAATTATTTCATGACGAACCAAATACATTATGCACCCGTTTCATTTTCCACTTCACCTACTAACTGGATCAACTACACCATAAATGCAACGGGTTCACCATGAAAATGTTTTACTACTTATTTTTTATTTGCGACATGAACCAGTTTCACCTTCATGAAACCTATTTCATTTGTAATAATTTTTTTGTCCAACTATGATTTGATGAATTCATTACATTATGGCTTACAATCTTCAAGATTGACCAGAAGATTCAATTGCATCACAATATATTTAGTTCAAATTTTAAATATTAAAACATAATTAAATATTTAAATGTTACCATTTATAAAATTTCATTAATTACGTTTCCTTAATTAAGATTTATTAATAATTTCCATATTTAATAGAAAATATTGTAAATGACCGAAATACCCTTATTGATTAAATTTAATTAGAAAAAAATAGAATTTTTCTATTGGTCGAAATTAGTTTACACGGTTTCTTAGAAATGCACGGTTTTCATTTGAACGTGCCCATATATATATATATATATATGTTGGTTATTATACAACCCTTGACATTTGTACAACCACTACAACCTAATCTCAACCGTCCATTTCATGTGATTAATATGTGATTTAGTAGAAGCTTTTATTGTTTCTTAATATAAAATATCGATATAATTAATGAACCATATTCATTTTCCATAAATATTCAAATCATAGTAAATAAACTTTCATCATTTCCATAAATATCTCAATATATTGGGTTACATTGGTTGTACAAATGCGATGAATTGTATTTGAAACAAACTTTATATATTTATACATATATTTTAATTTTCTTTGTACTTTGTATATAATATACATACTTGTACATATAAATTAATTTTTCAAAAAAATGTATAAAGACCAAAATAGCCATTGAGTAGGGCTTGAAGTTGAAGTCAGGGACTAGTATTGACAGCAAATTCAAACGCTAATGACTGTTGGTAAAGTTTCAACAACCACATGGACGGTTTATGTAATTTACTCAGAACGACATTTACAGCCGCCTCCTGCCGTCCCAGCCTTTGCCCACTCTCGTCTACTGTCCGTTCACTCCCACTCCGCTCAGGTATCTTTTACTATTTCATCAGGTAGCTTTGATCCGTAACTAGTTCTAGCACATTATAGGTGTCTTGAACGTTTCAGTAGAGCGCAGAAACCATCTTCACATTACAGGTTTTCTTAAATTGAAACTACAAAACAACGCCTTGCTGATGCACTTTCATCCTCTTCTCTTTTTTCTTACAGCATCTGCAGTTACCAAAGAATGACGTTCTCGACTCCAATTTCATCATCATATTTTCCTAGAGTGTATTCCCATTTAGAGACCAAGTCTAAGATATGCTTATCAAATGCATCCTCTCTTCTTCAGCACACTTTGACTTACAAGTAAGCATTTCGCTTGTGACTTATTATTTGAACATGCTGGAATCTCAAGGAGAAACATTATGCTTAAGTGCAAATAAATAACCACCTGGGTAGCTGTTTCTCATTTAGAATTATACATACAACTGTTTGAAAATGACTCGTCATCCCTTAAAGTACTGCATATAGTAAGGTAGTGACAGAGTGGCAGGTGAAAGATGAAGCTACTGTCTCAGACACCAGCATTCTCTTTTAATCATAACCATTTTTTTATTAGCTCCCACGGACAATTGTTTTATCTTGTATTGACAGCTTAAAAAGTCCAGTGGTCAATTGGCTGAAATGGTACTCATAACAAAACTTGTGGTTGAAGAATAATAGATCAATGGGTGCAACAAATTAGGAAATATTAGCTTTAATTGATTCCATAGAACATTCTGCTTATCCAAAGATGCAGATTGTCAAAGATAATGTGGATGCCATTAGTATGTTACAATATGCCTATATGAAATACCTATCGCTTCAAGCCTTCACTATCCACGCCTTCGCTCCTCTATACTAAAACAAGGTGATAACTGATCCAGGTTTGCAAGGGTAAAAAATTGTCAATGAGAAAATATCTGATGTTATTATTTATTGCCGTTTCCACTAATTTGTCATTGAAGTTAAACACCCAATACTATGAAGCTATAACACCCACCGTTACTGAGCAAGCTTCCTTCTTATTAATGTCTATCAATCTATATACACTTTATTTTCACTTCCTTTTAAACTCCTCTTTAGTTGTTAAAGTTCTAAAAGTTATGCATGTAACTTACATCCCAGAGTATGTTTTCCTTCTCGTCTGGAAAGAAGAGAGTCAGACAACTTCAAAGTTTCTGCTTTAGTTATAACAAGTCTAATTTAATCCTTTTTTCATTCATCATATATATAATTGTTGTACCTTATGGTTTGAATCTCCTTTTTCTCCCCTATCTTTCTGTCAGATAATTCAATACATGAAGCCCCTGTGAATTCTTCAATTGCCAAAGGTGGCACTTGGTCAATCCATAAATTTGGTGGCACCTGTGTAGGAACTGCCCAAAGGATCCAAAATATCGCCGACATTGTTATGGAAGACAGTTCCGAAAGAAAGATGGTGGTTGTCTCTGCAATGGCTAAAGTTACAAATATGATGTATGATCTTATTGATAGAGCACAATCAAGAGATGATTCATATGAATTGGCACTTGATGCAGTATTTGAAAAGCATAAGTTGACTGCAATTGATCTACTTGATGGGGATGAACTTGCGAGTTTCTTGTCTACTCTGAGTCTTGACATCAATAACCTTAAAGCAATGCTGCGCACAATATATATAGGTTTTTACCTCCTTTCTTGCGCTTTTTCTACCATCTATATTTTAAATATTTTTCAGTGTGTAAAAAAAATACGAGAGCCATCAGAAGTGAATGACTTGTGTGTGTTCTCTTATTTTTTCTTCTGTTGGTTTACAATGTCAAGGGAAATAACCAAACTTTGTAAGAGCACTTACCTGCATAAGATGTATGTTTTCTTCAGGTTATATATTTGTTTCCTCCAATAACAAATCTTACAATGTCTAGGGTGATGATTGAAACTTAGCCTTGACCGCGTTAGAATCTTGACTTGATAGTCTTCTCTTAAATCTTAATAATAGTTTGATGCAGATTTTTTTGGTAGTGATAATGGATGACAAGTTCCAATCTTTTTCCTTGTAGATAATGCACACTTCTTTATAGCTGTTTGACTATTAGGTTGGATCTTAGTTTTGTGCTTAGCAGTATAGTTCCCGTGTAGCATAAGTATTGAATAATGTCTTTTTATGTTCTTCAGCCAGACATGCTACAGAATCTTTTTCAGATTTTGTTGTTGGATACGGAGAGTTATGGTCTACTCAGATATTGTCATCTGTCCTCAGAAAGGTGCTGTTGTTGTAATTACTTTTAATGTTGAATATACTTTGAATGTGGGAGCTTGTCAATTTGTCTGAATTACCAGGTTCCTTGTAGTTTCTTAAATTTCTTTTTCTGCCAGGGCGGAATAGATTGTAACTGGGTGGACACAAGAGACATCCTCATTGTCACACCTGCTGGTTCTAATCAAGTTGATCCCGATTATGCGGAGTCAGAGAAAAGACTCAAGAACTGGCTCCTTCAAAATCCTTCTAAGGCAATTGTTGCTACTGGTTTTATAGCTAGCACCCCTCAAAATATACCTACAACTTTAAAGAAAGATGGAAGCGACTTCTCTGCTGCTATCATGGGCGCTCTATTCAGGGCGCAGCAAGTGACAATTTGGACAGATGTTGACGGTGTGTATAGTGCAGATCCTAGAAAAGGTTAGTTTCAACATTATAGGAGATATCACATAAATTGTTCATGTTGCTTCACGGGTATGACTGCTCAAAGTTGTATACCATAGATGTCTTGCACACTTTATTTACTTCAGCACCATTCACTATTTTCCAGTATATAGAGGACCCGATCGAGGGCCAATCCTTCCATTCCTTTCATAATATTTAAAGCTGTTGAGATGTTCATAATTTTTTTTCCAAGGGTGATTCTAATGGCATCACTAGTTATTCTGAAGAAGAAAATCTTTTGCAGTTAGTGAGGCTGTCATACTGAATACCTTATCTTATCAAGAGGCATGGGAAATGGTAAACTTGTTCATCTCTTTCTGCTTACCCTGAAGCCTTTTCAATTATGTTTGTAACCAATCTTAGGCATGTGATGCAGTCATATTTTGGTGCAAATGTTTTACATCCTCGAACCATCATTCCAGTCATGCGGTATGACATTCCCATTGTCATAAGAAATGTTTTCAACCTCTTTGCACCTGGAACAAAGATTTGCAGGCTACCTGTCAGTGAAAAAGAAGAGAAACAGAAATTGGAAACTTATGTAAAAGGCTTTGCAACCATAGACAACGTGGCCCTTGTAAATGTTGAGGGGTGAGCTTGTGTTGCGTTTCTTGCATCTTTAGACCACTTTATCATCTTTGCCCATTTTCTTTACATTTTTGTTTAACTTGCTCATATCTAATGCTTTCTCAGAACTGGAATGGCTGGTGTTCCGGGTACAGCAAGTGCCATTTTTGGTGTTGTAAAAGATGTTGGAGCTAATGTCATCATGATTTTTCAGGTATCTCCGTCCACTGTCCTACAATGTATATATACAGAATTGATTTATGATGTTACTGTGGTTATATTTCAGGCTAGCAGTGAACATTCTGTGTGCTTTGATGTACCTGATAAGGAAGTGAAAGCAGTTGCGAAGGCGTTAGAAACTAGATTTGGTCAAGCTTTGGGTGCTGGACGTCTTTCTCAGGTGTTAAGCTTTGACTTGAATGAAATATTGCTCTTTGTTTTCATGTGTTGAAATGTTCATAGTGACCTTCTACAAAAAGTTATATATAATCTGTCAAGTACAATTGCATCATTTGATCACTCATTTTTTACTTGGGATGTTATACTTTTCCGACTGGGTCAAGGGGCAGCTAAATTCTACAATTTGATAATTCTAGAACTTGAGGAACATATAACAAATAATTTGGTATATTGATGTAGTTCAATTGCTTGGATATCTTTTCTTTAAGAAGATAATGTATAGGCAAGAGCAACCTGTGGAAGACAAATCGAGTTTAGAAAATGATGATAATAATTAATTTGGGAATTACGGCATATGTTGAAGTTATGTAACGCAAGATTTTAAAGTCGTTGGTTTAGCTCTCGACTTTGTATTTAGCCAAGCTTCTGGTTAGTGCATTTTTTTTGTAAGTTGTGTGTTTGAGATCTCGGGGTAATGCAACTTCCTTAGTATGAGTTCTAGGTGAGTTAGATCCTATACTACTGCTGTGTAAAGAACTTTAGGTCCATAGAGGTGCAATGTTGGTGCATATATGCAAGACTTTCACTTGGAACTCCTGCTTTGCAAAATGAAGTAAGTGTATTGGTGCATGCTCTTTTTTGTTTTGTGCGATTTACATGTGTAGAGTTGTAAGCTGGATGTGTATTGACCATATTATGGCATATATTCTTGAATTTAGAGATTAAGGGCTTCTATTGCTCTCTTAAAGATCTTAGCACTGCTTTTCTACTTATATCGTTGGAAGCATGCATGGACTAATCCATACTTGCATAACTTATCCATTTATTTTGTGTCCTTCCAGGTTGCAGTGATTCCAAACTATAGCATTCTTGCAGCAGTTGGCCAGAAAATGGCGAGTACTCCAGGTGTTAGTGCAACACTATTTAGTGATCTTGCAATGGTTAGTTCTGTACACCTTTGTTTGTCATATGTATAATATGGTCTGCCTGCATGTCTTCTATTTTATCTTCCTACATTTGCTCTCCTTGACAATAGTATGTCTTTAAGATATTTTTTTATTGAGTGGTCTATAACAATTTGATCCCAATCAACCAACTTTATCGAGAAAGATTACTTTAATCTTATTGTGATATTTGTGATAACACTGTGAGACTCCTACTGTGACATTTGTGACAACAATGGTGTGATAATTGAAAGCAAATGTATTTCCCAAGATGATCTTTATTCACAAACATTCAAATATAAATACAAAGGAGAAGCTACAAATCAAGAACTGATCTCCACTCATTCGGGGGGATCATTTATCAAATAACAACCTAAAATAGATAAGACTAACTCTAAAAATGACACAACTAATACACCCCATCAGTCTGAGCAGTAGAAGGACGAATGCACAAATTGGACCGAAAACGGTGGAAAAGATGACGCGGTAGCCCTTTTGTGAAAATGTCGGCGTACTGAAAATCGGCTGGAACATGTAAAACCCTGACTACACCTTTTCTCTGACAAAATGAATATCAAGTTCCACATGCTTTGTACGCTGATGTTGTACGGGATTTTCAAATAAGTATACAGTCGATATATTATCACAGTAAACAACTGTAGCCTTGCGAGTGGGAACATAAAGTTCAAGAAGTAAGTTGCGTTGCCAACTCGTTTCGGCAACTGCATTTGTAACCCCACGGTATTCTGCCTCAGCGCTTGATCGAGATATGGTTGATGACGTTTTGATGACCAGGAAACCAAATTATCTCCTAAGAAAACACAGTACCCGAAAGTGGAGCGGCAAGAGTCGGGGCACCCCCCGGTCGACGTCAAAATATGCAATAAGTTTGGTCGATTTGGAGGGTGAGATACGGAGTCCATAAGTAATTGTTCCTTTAAGATAATGAAGAACTCGTTTGAGGAACTGAAAGTGTGGATCACATGGGTCATGCATGAATAAGCAAATATGTTGTACCGCATATGAAAGATCCGGACGGTTGATTGTAAGATACTGTAAAGCTCCTGCCAATTGGCGATGATGTGTCTCATCACGTAGTAGTTTACCACTTGTTGCACTCATTTTGGGGGAAGAGTCAACAGGAGTGGAACTGGGTTTGCAATCTGCCATATGAGCCTAGGATAGAATGGTAGTGGCATAATTTTCTTGTGAAAGGAACAGGCCGCTGTCTTTATGTTTAACTTGGATCCTGAGGAAAAGATTAAGGGTACCTAAATCTGACATAGCAAACTCACGAGATAAAAGAGCAATGATATTAGTGAGAAGCTGGTCATTAGAGGCCATGAGTACGATGTCATCAACATACAACAGTAAATAGGCCATGTCATGTCCCTTTTTTAGATAAATAGGGAAGTGTCACTAACGATACTCCGAAAACCACACTTAGTAATGTAGGTAGCAAATCTGTCATACCACGCCCTAGGGTCCTGTTTAAGCCCATAAAAAGACTTGTGTAACCTGCATACATAATTAGGATGAGTGGTATCGGTAAACCCCGGAGGTTGAAACATATATACTGTTTTATTTGAGTCCCCGTGAAGAAATGCATTTTTAACGTCGAGTTGGTGAATTGACCAAAACCGGGAGACAGCTAGACTTAGCATCTTCTGATTGTGGTCGGTTTGACTACGGGACTAAACATTTCATCACAGTCTATTCCGACCCGTTGATATTTCCCGTTAACAACTAACCGGGCCTTGTATCGCTGTAAGGTGCCATATGCGTTAAACTTGTGACGAAACAACCATATGCACCGAATAATGTTTGCATCAGGGGGCCGAGGTACCAAGTCCCACATTTGATTGTCCATTAGAGCTCGATATTCTTCGGTCATGGCGTCTAGACAATGTGGATCGGAAAGGGCTTTGATGTGGGAAGTTGATATGGGAGATATTGTAGTCTGGGCAGTAGTATGTAGGTTAACAGGAGTTTGAGATCTGGATGCTCGGGAGCGGGTTATCATGGGGTGGATTGATGCGAGTGGTGGTGGCGGCGGGGGAGGTGGTGGAGGCTGTGGCGTTGGGTTTGTAACAGGTAAGGAGTGCTGCGGGGATTTGTGGTGACTGGTGGCTGTGCATTCCGGCGATGGTAATTGGTAGGTAAGGATAAGAGGGGGCTGTTGAAGAGTGGTAGATGGGGAAGTGTTTTGGGCAGAAGAGTTTTGGGTAGTTGGCAGGGGAGTAGGTTGTAAAGTGGCTGGTGGGTCAAATATGGTAAGAGATGGGCCAGACTCAAGGAATGAGTAGTCTAAGGGTGCAGTGGGATGATCTTCAGAAAAGGAAAAGATGTCTCGTCGAAAGTGACGTGACGAGAGAGGAGGACCTTGCCGGAAGAAAGGTCAAGGAACCGATACACGTGAAAATTGGCGGGGTACCCGAGGAAGATACAACGAGTGGACCGGTGTTCCAACTTGTTTTTCTGTGTTGCGGTTGTGTTAGGATAACACGCATACCCGCAAACCCGTAGGTAGTCATAGGAAGGTCGTCGATGATAAAGAGCAGTCATAGGGGTGGTGAATTTTAAGAGTTTGGTGGGGAGAATGTTGTGGAGATAACGCGCTGTATGTAATGCTTCAACCCAGAAATGGGGTGGGAGAGACGGGTGTGTGAGAAGATTGAGTATGATCTCGTTAAGTCTACGAATCATACGCTCAGATTTCCCATTTTGTTGGGAAGTGTGAGGGTAAGAGAAGCGGAAGAGTAGACCGTTTGTTTCAGCAAAAGATTTGAAATTTTGGTTATCGAATTCACCCCCTAAGTCGCATTGAAAAGTTTTAATTGTGAGATTGAATTGAGTTTGGATGTATTTATGAAACTGAGAGAATTTGGAAAATGTTTCAGACTTGAATTTTATTGGAAAACCCCAAGTATATTGTATGAAATCGTCTATTAAAGCCATGTAATATTCGTAACCTGTTTTGCTGGGGACAGGAGATGTCCATAAGTCACAATGAACAATATTAAACGGTAAAACAGTAGTAGAATTAGAATCAGAAAACGGTAATCGTTTGTGTTTTGAAAGCTGACAAGAATTGCAAACCAAAAATCTACTACATTTAGGACATGGAATAATATTATTCAAACTAAGAAAATTCAAAACAGGAAGACCGGGATGTCCCAATCGATCATGCCAAACGTCTTGAGCACTAGAGGTGAAAAAAGTGGAGTTGGTGACCGGATAGGTGAGAGGATATAGACGACTCGAGCTATTGTGGCGGGACAGCATCTGACCACTCTGGTAATCCTTCACTAGAAAACCCATTGGGATCAAATTCAATGGAAACATCATTATCAACAGAGTTGCTGGGCCAGGAGGTCGTTGCTGGAGGGTTAAAGGCAGGAGATTAGCCTGGTTCGTTGCTGGGCCAGGAGGTCTTGGGACTAACTTGCGATGTGCAGGTGGGCCAGGCTGGCATAGGAGATCCAACCCAAAGAGAGGCCCATCCAGAGTTGGTAGGATACGGACATGGCGGTGGGATCCAATAGGCCCAATTGGGCAGTCGATTAGGTTGAGAGTTCCATGGCGACTGAGTCAACTGACGCTCGCCTGAACCATGCCTAGGGCTTGTTGAGGAGGAACCGCTCGAGGAGTTATTGGGCCGCCTATGTCCGGGTCTGTTATTGGGGCGTCTTTTGTTGACATAGTTTGAAGGATCATGTGGTGGTTCTGAGGAAACAACAACCATAACAGTCTGTGTAGACATGGTTTCCCGGGCATTTTGTCGGTGATGTTCCAACTTGAGCATACTACATGCAGCCTCCCACGTGGGAAGACTTTGACTGATATACGAGGCCACAGTGTCGTATTCTGCCGAAAGTCCTCTAACAAGTTGAAGAACGAGCCTCTGATCATTAACCGAACAATCCACGTCATTGAGTTGATTGCCCAGTTCCTTGAGTTTTTGGTAGTAAGCTTCAAGAGACGGCATGGATTTTTATGTGAGGTTATTGAATTCATGCTCTAGGGCCGCCGCCCTAGAGCCCTTGTTGTTGAGGAAAATGGCTTTGATTCGTGACCAGGCTTCGTGGGCAGTTGACTCGGTTACCAAGACACGAACCAGTAAATCATCGGACAACGTCCCGTAAATCCATTGCAATACAATCGCATCAATTTCAGTCCATGCTTCATACTCTGCATCAGTTTTGGCCGGAGGCGGTGTCCCTTCAATGTGTGACATGACTTTGTATTCCTTGGCATGTAGTTGAAATAACTTGACCCACGAAGAGTATGAGACTTTTGTACCGTCAAGCACCCGGACCTTGTGTTGAATGTTGGTCACGGTGTAAACGGGGTGAAGGGTCTTGGTGACATTTTCAGGCTTGTCAGCCATGGATAGCAACTGGATGGTGATGGCAGAGAAGAAATCAAACCGTGGTTTGATCTTCAGTGATTTGAGAAGAACGAGAGCTAGGGTATCGAGCCTAGCTCTGATACCATGAAAGCAAATGATTTCCCAAGATGATCTTTATTCACAAACATTCGAATATAAATATATAGGAGAAGCTACAAATCAGGAACTGATCTCCACTCATTTAGGGGGGATCATTTACCAAATAACAACCCAAAATAGATAAGACTAATTCTAAAAATAATACAGCTAACTTACAGCTAATAATAATAAGAGTGTGATAGACAATCATCGAGCCCTAAACGAAGTATGTTAACTGTGATATCAATATGATACACATACAATCATCGACTCACTGTGATAATCTTGTGATACACATAATTTTATCTTACTGGGATACATAACCGGTATGTCTTATCACGATGCATATATTTAAAAATGACTAGATCACATCTTTGGAATAAAATCCAGTTGGAAATGGAAATCCAATTAGAGTCAAGTCATTGAATAAAGTCTACTTTTTAGACTTTTATTCACATTTTACGTACTCATTACGGCTTACATAATTCGGGGATTGTGGGGAGCATAC